ACAGAGCAAGCATGAAAAGCTCAAAATATGGACTCAAGCTCCATTTTCCGAGCTCTGTGAATAGCTACGAGGACTAGCGGGCGCAAGAGGCTCTCACAAGAGGAGGAGGAGGAGGAAGAAGAGGAGCCCAGCGTTGGAAGAGTCCCACGAGTAGGAGGAGGAGGAGGAGGAGGAGGAGGAGGAGGAAGAAGAAGAAGAAGAGGGAAGTACGAGGGGGTGGCAGAGGAGGAAAGCAGCCAAGCTCGCGAACGCAAAGACCAACCAGGGCACAGCCTTGTGCACCCGCACCAGATGTTCCACACGAGCGGATGGAGGAGGGGCAAGGCAGGAAGCAAGCACTGGCCGGGCGTGCAGAGCACAACCGTCCCGTGGCCTACCGTGTAGGGTCAAGTGCCTCGAAAAAACGACGCTTAGGTCGGGCACGTCCCCCTATAGGCGGATCTTGGACGAAAAATCAAAAATAGCCAAAGAATGTCCAAAAATTGTCAAAAATAGTCGAGACATCGTCCCCTGACTTCTTCTTGGCTATTTATGAATATTCCTCCTGTCGAGGGACATGCCAGACTCAAAACTACGCGGGAAAAGGAAGGGAATGAACTCCAGGGGGGCGAAGAGCGCCGGCCACCCAAGGAGCTACGTACCTATCTGGCCCCAGAGCACATGCAAGAGGCGAAATAGTAAAGGCAGAGAGTAGGAAGGGAGGCGCAGAGGAGGTCTGCGGCTGGCCTCTGGTGTGGCCGATGGACGTATTCAGGGTGTCCCTCTGAGTGGCCCTGTCACCACCCCGTGAGGACCCACCGAACCAATGAACGTGCAAAGGACAACCACGTGGCGATGGACTCCGTAGCGGTGGGTACCGCATTATTTCCCGAGCCCGTGGTGCTGGGTAGCGACGTGGCAATCAAGTCCTTCAACTAGGAATAGCGTCCAACGGGTCGGCACTAAAGCTGAGATCGAAGCCGCCGTCATGAAGCCAGCGAGTCAGGCGGATAGGCCGGCACACCCAAAATCATCGTCCATTGCCTTCGGAGCCAACCAGTCCATAGCACCGTTGCTAAACAGGAGTGTTGATTGCTGCCTCTGCTGCGTGCCTCACCCCATTCAGCCCACTTGTTCGCGGCGTCGGATCTCAGGGGAGCTAGGTGGCGCGAACGCTGGGGGGGGAGGGGGGGGGAGGGGGGGGGGCACAGGCCAGCGAAGGGAATCGGAGCCCGATGCCAAGAGGCGCCGAGAGAAGCAGAGCATGCACGAAAGCCACTGTTTGGGCCTCCTCCTCCTCCTCCTCCTCCTCCTCTTCCTCCTCCTCCTCCTCCTCCTCCTCCGCCTCCGCCGCCTCCTCAGCCTCCGCCTCCGATCCGCCTCCGCCTCCGCCTCCTCCGCCTCCTCCTCCTCCTCCTCCTCCCATCTCCATCTCCTCCTCCTCCTCCTCCTCCTCCGCCTCCTCCTCCTCCTCCCCGCCTCCCCTCCTCCTGCCCCCTCCTCCTCTTCCTTATCCTCCTCCTTCTCCTCCTCTGCCTCCTCCTCCTCCTCCTCCTCCTCCTCCTCCTCCTCCCTCCTCCTCCTCCTCCTCCTCCTCCTCCTCCTCCTCCTCCTCCTCCTCCTCCTCCTCCTCCTCCTCCTCCTCTCCTCCTCATCCTCCTTCCTCCTCCTCCTCTGACTCCTCCTCATCTGTTCCTCCTCCTCCTTCCTCCTCCTCCTCCTCCTCCTCCTCCTCCTCATCCCTCCTCCTCCTCCTCCTCCTCCTCCTCCTCCTCCTCCTCCTCCTCCTCCTCCTCTTCCTTCTCCTCCTCCTCCTCCTCCTCCTCCTCCTCCTCCTCCTCCTCCTACTCCTCCTCTCCTCTGTGTCCTCCTCCTCCCCACCTATGCCCCCTGAGAACCAGCACGAAGATTGGGTCGTAGGCTCCCCCGAATGTTCAGAAGCGCCAGAAGGAGATCCCAGGGAGCTCCCAATGTGCCATGGGGAGCCAGAGCGCCGCTTCAAATAGAAGCGTCTCGCACACATTGCGCCACGTGTCGGAGGCGGTCTCGTCGGGCTTCAGCGTCGCCTCCCGAGACTCGCCTAGCAATGCCAGCGCACGCCACCACTGATCGCCCTTCTCGCACGCGCTGATCTCGGAGTTGTAGGTTACTCCGCAACCCAAGTGCTGGATGGCAGGGTTTGTGTAATCTTCTAAGGCCCCCCGCCTCCCGGGTCGCACGCAGGCGCGCGCATCGTCCTCTCGTTCCGAGGCTCTGTCGAAGCCCAGACACGGTCCCTTGCGCTCCCCAAGGTGTCGGAGATACCCAAGATGTCTTCTCAAACTGCCAAGGCAAGCCACCAAGGCCGCCAACATAAACCAAGAAACCGCCTTGACGACCGAAGAAACATCCAAGCCAGCCCAAGACGGCTCCAAGAGAGCCTCCAGCAAGGCCCGAAGAGGCCAAAATCATTGACCGCCCCTCGGTTCTTAAGAGATGTTCGCATGCTCGCCTTGTCGAGCTTCTGACGTCCCAAGAACTCAAGAGGCCACCAGGACTGCCCCAAGACAGCCCAAGAGGCCCCCAAGAGGGCCCCAAGACGGCCCAAGAGCGCTCCAAGACGGCCCCAGAGGCGCCCACGAATGCCCAAGAGGGCACCAAGACGGCCTCAAGAAAGGCCCAAGAGGGTGAACACGAACCGACAATTCGAGCATTCCGTCCCAAGAGGATTCAGGGGGCCCAAAGAGAGCCGAAAGAGGCTCCCAGGAGGGCCTCGAGAGGCAAAAACGATCGATTTGCCGTAGGATCTTTAATTTTGTTTGGGTCCTCGCCTTTTCGAGCGTCCGACGCTCCAGGACGGCCCAAGGCGCACCCAGAAATCCCCCGAGACGGCTCAAGAGGCTTTTCAGAAGGCTTTCAATGCAGCCCAAGGGGCGCCCAGGACTGCCCAAGATAGCCCCAAGAAGGGCCCAAGAGTGGGAACCCTGAACCAAGAACTCGAGCCTTCTGCCTCAAGAGGCCCCCAGCAGGCCCCCTTGCCCTCTCGAAAATCTGCCACCCAGAGTGATGCGCTAGCACGGTGGCGGAATTGCCAGAGGCAGCTGCACAGTGTGGGCGCGTCGGTTGGAGATTCACACCAGCTCGCAGCCGAGCATGCTTGAATCGCATGTTTAGTGACAGAAGGTGGTCTCGTAGACCCGGGGATTCTGCACTGATCGTGTCGGCCTCGTGAGACTCGGGGTCGCTGAGCAGACTGTTTAGGGGGGGGGGGCCTTCCGTGTCCTTTATTTGCTCTGGAAGCGCACCAGGAAGCTGGAAACACGCATGGCATGACCCGCATGCGGGACATGCGGAAGCCACTCGCTTTAGGTTGTGCACGTCCCCCTACAGGCGGATGTTGGACGAAAAGTTTACAGCAATACCCAAACATACACCAGAATTACAAAAAAATAGTCAAAAAATCGTCCCCAGACAATTTGTTTGACTATTTTTGAATGTTCCCCCGGTAGAGGGACACGCCCGACTTAACACTTGCTGGATCCACACGTGGAGGATCACCCTGCATGGCCGCGCGAGGGAGGAGGAGGAAGAGGAGGAGGAGGAGGAGGCGGAGGAGGCGGTGGACGAGGAGGCTCTCGCCCAGGCCAGCCGCGCCAAGTGCATCCAGCGCCCCTGCACGTGGTTTGGGGCCGGCATCTCTGGCGCCGAGGGGGGCAGCGGATCGACGGTGGCCAGGCCGCACGGCCTGACGACCGCAGTGGAGCCTAGAAGCGGAGGCGCTGGGAAACACGTGAGCCACTGAGCATCGTTTTGCCGATCCCTATCCCCACTGGTGTGGCCTGGGCCCACTGGCCGATCTACCCACCTAGACGGGGATGCAGGCTGTTCCCCTTGGGTTTTGAGGGGTGCATCTCCAATCGGGGTGTTGTGATGATGGGGTCGAGCTGGGGATGGGCATGGGGATAGGGATCGGTTAAACGATACCGAGCCGCGAAGAGAAACGAGCCTGACGCGAGAAAACATAGTGACTTTACCCCGCGGCTTACGCGGGCCGCCAGCGCGGCACACCGCGCCCACCCTTCTCCCTCCCCGCTCTCCCTCTTCTCGAGGTGAGGCAAGGCGTCCAAAACCTCTGCCAAGACTGGGGGGCTGACCGACCAACGGAAAGGATGGCCAGATCCAGAAACCGTGTTTCGGCGACACGCGAGAGTGACCCTGGATAAGAGTGACCTTTGGTGCGCGGATTTTTGATGGGCCGCGGGGGACCAACCACAAGCGCGCAAGACGCTACTATCGCATCGCGTTCGGCGATCGGGGGACCCCAACGGGGCCACATCAAAGGTCACTCCGGCGAAGGGTCACTCTTACGTGTAGTCGAGTGTTTCCCGCCGTCGACATCACAGCAGCACTCCACCGAAGCACGCTGCGCAATCGAAGGTCGCTGGACGCGATGGCGTCGATGGAGAGAGGGGCAAGGGCACGTGGCCGAGGTTGCTGGCCGCGATTAGCGTCGATCAAAAAAGAGGAGGAGAGGAGGAGGAGGAGGAGGAGGAGGAGCAGGAGGAGGAGGAGGAGGAGGAGGTGCAGGGAGGAGGAGGAGGAGGATGAGGAGGAAGGGAGCATAGGAAGGAGGAGGGGGAGGAGGAGGCAGGAGGAGGAGGAGGAGGAGGAGGAGGGTAAACGCGACCGGCTCGTTCCTTACGTTGGTCTAACCAGAAAAAGAGGAGATGGCGGAGGAGGAGGAGGAGGACAGGGAGGAGGAGGAGGAAGAGGAGGAGGAATAGGAGGAGGAGGAGGAGGAGGAGGAGGACGAGGAGGAGGAGGAGGAGGGGCAGGGGCACATGGCCGACGCCGGAACCCTGGATCCAAGACACATCGACTCCTCGCTCTGCCTCCAGCCGCCTGCCGCCGGCAGGGCCGCCGCCGTCTTACACCTCGCCCTCCTCCGCTGGCCTGCCGCCGCCCTCCGCCCAAAGGCGAGGGTGCGCTCGGGGAGGAGAGCCAAGAGGGGGGCGTCCACCAGGGGGGGCGCAGATCATGGCCAGCGGCATGTGCGCGGCCCGAGGAGGGGGGCCAGGGACGCAAAGAAATGAGAAGAGGCGCCAAGAAATCTGAGGAGATGGCATGGCCCACGCCATGACATCCCCCCCCCCAGTCATCAGCCCCCTCTTGGCCGCCCCCGAGGGAGAGCCGAGTGGCCGGGCTCGTGCAGGACCCTCATCGGAGACGGGGGGACGGACGGCGGTCCCGCTAGGAGCGGAGCGATGGCGCCGTGGCGCCGGGCATATTCGAGCTGGAAGTGGGAGAGAATTGCTAGCAGTGCGGCACGGGCGAGGTGCAGAAAAGGTGGGGCCCTCTCGGAAACATACATAGATTCATGACGTCAGGCACCAATCGCGCCTCCCACAACTCTCCCAGCAGCGCTAGTGCTTCCTGCCAGCGCCCGCTTTTACCGCAGGCGCTGATCCCAGCGTTGAAGCTCACGATGCTGGGCTCGAAACGCATCCCCAACATCTCGCTAAGCAACAATAGCGCATTCTGCCATTCCCCCCCTTTCTCGCACGCGCTAATCCCAGCGCTGTAGCTGACGACATTGGGTTCCAACTCCCTCTCAAGAATTTCGCTGTGCAGCGACAGCGCCCGCTGCCACTGCCCAGCTTTCTCACAGGAGCTGATCCCAGCGCTGTAACTGATGATATCGGGCTCAAGTTTCGCCTCCCGCACTGCCCTCAGCAAGAACAACGCCTGCCACCACTGCCCACCCTTCTCGCAGGCGCTAATCCCGGCGTTGTAGCTGATGATATCGGGCTCAAGCCTCGAATCCGACCCCTCGCACGCTTCGTGGCCCCACAGGGAGCCCCACCGAGGACCCCAGGTGGCTGCGCTCGCATGGCATCACCGCGCCCTTCTCGGCACATCCCTCACACGTTTCGTGGCCCCATAGGGAGCTCCACCAAAGGCCCCAATGGCTGCGCTCGCATGGCACCACCGCGCCCATGTCGGCACACCCCTCGCACGCTTCGTGGCCTCATAGGGAGCTCCACCGAAGGCTCATGCGGCTGCGCTCGCATACGGCACACCACTCATGCGCTACGAGCCCCACGGGGAGCTCCACCCAGGGCCCCGGTGGCTGCGCTCGCATGGCACCACCGCGCCCATGTCGGCACACCCCTCACACGTGTCGCACGTGTCGTCCAAGTAGGAGTACGCCCTGGCGTCTGGGTCGAGGGCGCTGCGGCGGTCAAGGAGCGGCTGCAGGGCTCTGCGTTGGCCATCCGCGCAGGCGGCCGGCGCCAGCAGGTCGACTCGGTCAAAAACAAACAAACAAACAAAAACGACGCGTGCTCTCGACCTGCGCGGAGTTGCTGGCCGCGTCGCGCCAGAGGTGGACGGTCGGGCACCCGTACCACGTGTGTTGGGCGCCGCGTCGCGGGGGGGCGAAGTAGGGAGGGGTAGCGAGGGCTGGAGAAAAGGGGCCCTTCAGGGCCCAAGAGGGAGCCTTCAGGGCACGACGATTAATTGTGTCTGTGTGTTTTTTCCCCTCCTGACTTCCTCTCCCCCAATTGATCGCCCCCCACCCCCACCACATTAAGCGACGCCCAAGTCTGCAGCACGCGGGAGACCTCCGGCACGTGCTCCACCATGGCTTCGATGCGGGCCCGCGCTCCGCTCTCTGGAAGGCGGCCTTCCTTCCTTCTCTCTCTCTCTCTCTTTTGTGTTGTTCTCTCTTTTGTGTATGTTTTTTGTATTCTCTCTCTCTTTCTTTCTCTTTCTCTCTCTCTCTCTCTCTTTCTTTGTGGTATTCCCTCTCTCTCTCTCTCTCTCTCCCTGAGAGAGAGAGAGAGAGAGAGAGAGAGAGAGAGAGAGAGAGAGAGACGAAACAAAAAAAGAGAGAACGACAGAAAGAGAGAAAAAGAGAGAGAGAGAGAGAGAGAGAGAGCACCGCACGATGAGAGCGCCCTCGGCAAGCGGCATGAGGCCGCCAGGGAGCTGTCCAGGAGCCACCCCGGGGTGCGTCGGGGCTCCTGGGCACACGACGACGTCTGGGGCTCGTGGAGCGCCCCAGGCCCCCGACGTCGCCGTTTTGTTCTCCACGCAGCCCCCCAGAGGTCTGGACCTTTCCCCTGGGAGCGGCTGCTCATCCAGAGAGCCGTTCTGTTGACGGCCCCCTGGCCTGGTACAGTAGGAGCTCGACTAAAAGAAACCTCCCACGAGAAAGCCAACCCTGAAACCCCAGGACGTCCATTGACCTTGGGTGTGGGAACGTCACGCTTCCCACAGCAAAACGATCGAAACCCATGAAGCCCAGAGCACCCTGGAGGCAAGCAGGGTGTTTCTTGGCACGGGTTTCCACTGTAAGAGGGCCCCCTGAAGCCGAAAACTAAACACTGCTAAGATTAGGTCGGGCCTGTCCCCCTACAGGCCGATTTTGGACGAAAAATACTCCAAAAATGCGCCACAAATGCCAAACAATAGTCAACAAATCCTCTCCAGGCTATTTTTGACTATTTGGGAATGCTCCTCCTGTACAGGACACGCCCGACTTACGGCTAAGAGGCAGAGCGGAGCAAAACGAAAACTCTCCCTGCGGGGGGCAGGACTGGGGACAGGCGGCGGCGAAGACTCCTCGTGCGAGCGCCTCTGCGCCTCGCAGGTGGTGGGCCCACCCGGGCTCTGTGCGGGGGCCCCTGGAAAGCCAGACCCCCGACGAGGTGATTGTGTTCGCAACGTCGACCCCCAGAGGTCGGGACCCCTTCCCCGGGGAATGGATGTGCATCCTGAGTCGGTTTCTGACGGCCCCGAGGCTCGGGCGGGCGGCAGCGGGGGCTGGCCCCCACATGGGGGGTTAAGAGAAGGGCCCTACAGGGGCCCTCCCTCCCTTCGGGAGCCAGTTGGTGCACCAAAGGCGCCTTAAAGGGCCCGTTTAGGGCCCTTTCCTTCACCCCCCATGTGGGTCACCCCCCGATTACCACCCGCCCAAGAGGCCCGGGAAGGGCCCCCCGGAGGCCGAAACCAGTGAAGGACACATCCCGTCGCGATGTTGTTCTCACAACTGGAGCGGGCCAGGGGAAGCGGGACGGCCTGGGGAGGCCGCCCCTGGGAGCTCTTCGAGGGCGCCTTCTTAGCGGCACGGGACGGCAGGCGGGCCACGAGCCGGGCAGCTCTGGACCTCACGCCAGGGCCGGGCCCCCGAGACGCTGGGCCGGCAGCGCGGGGGCGGCGGCCAGCGCGTTCGGAACGCCGGCGTGGCGCGCCGGCGCTCAGGCACACGGAGGCTGCGGGGCGCAGGGCCCAGGGCTCAGGCCGCAGGGGCCCAGGCCTCAGGCCGCAGGGCTCGGGTTCTGGGGCTCTGAGGCTCTTGACTTGGGCCCCCTCTGGCCTGCGAGCCGCAGCCCAGCCGCCTTCGCGGGCGGGCGCGCGCAAGGCGGTGACGCTGCAGCGCAGAGAGGAAGACAAGAGATGGTGGAGGCCTCGGGCGTAGAGAATCTTAGCCACGAGGAGTGCGCTGGCCTCCAAGCGCAGTACTGGGCACAGTTCTCTGGCCAGGACAACCCCCCTGATATCCGTGGACGGGCTTCCTAGTGGGCCCCAGTCTGGGCAATTGGGGGGGCAAATGACGTCTGGCTCCAGCGTACCGTCAGCTATCTCGCCGAGCAGCAGCAGCGCCTCTGGCCACTGCCCGCCTTTGCCGCACGCGGCGATGGCCACGTTGTAGAGGACGGTGTCGACTCTTGCACGTGCCTCCGATGCTGCACGAAACAGCGTCAGCGCTGCACTCCACTGCCTCGCTCTCCCACACTTGCTGATGGCCACGTTCAGGGCGGCCTCGGGTCGAACTCCTGCCTGGCCGACAGCCTGGGGCTTGTGCCCCATGGAGCAGCGCGCCCGGTGCGCCCAGCATGGCCGGGGAGTCGCCCCGCTGGGCATCGCCGGCACAGCGAGGGGCGGCGGAGTCGGCGATCACGGGCATGTGAGAGGGGCGGCATGGACATTACCTCCGGTCATAGGCGACTGCCGCAAACAGAGCGCGGCTGCGAAAACGAACTGTGGCGGGATCTGACTCGAATCGGTCGAGAAGCATGGCCTAGAGGGCACGGGCTCCACTTGCAGCATCGCGGTCGTGTGCAACCACTGTGCTTTTGACTGGCACTATCACCAGTGTTGCTGTCACACGTCGCAGTTGCAATGTTAACTCATTCCATGACATCTGGACAGATCCGCCCTGAAGGAACCCCACCAACCCTTTAGGGCGTGAGTGGTCTAACGAGCTCGTTGTGCTAGCCCGCCTCCTCCCCTTCGGGGAGAGGGCCCCCCCCTCCCCATTATCCCCTCCCCCTGGGTCTGGGCTCTGAACCCCCCCTCCCCGCCCGCGAGGTGTCAGAGGGTCCGTTGGGACCCCCCAGGTGGCTCCGAGAGGGCCCCAGAGAGCCCAAGATGGCCTGCAAGATCGCTCGGGATATCCCAAGATGTCTCAAGGTAGCCTCCAACACGCCTCCAAGAGCCCTCAAGACCGCCCCAGGCTGGCCCCAAGGGTTCCCGCCCTCCGAGCCTCCCAGGGAGGCGCCTAGGAGGCCACAATCCGTCCAACTGTTTGTGGTGTTCGATGTGCCGTTGCCTTCTCTCCTTGTCGCTTCCGATGGGCTCTTTGAGGCGCCAATGTGGCTCCACGATGACCCAAGATGGCCCCAAGAGGGGCCCAAGAGAGCCCGAGGCGGCCCCAGGAGCGCCCAGGACCGCCCCAAGAGCGGCCCAAGAGGGCCCCAAGAGGCGATGTGAATGGACCCGACGGGGGGGACCCTGTCAGGGACCTCCCCCCCTTATTTGATCGATCGCCTCCAAGATGGCTCAAAGACGGCCTCCAAGGCTTCCAAGGCATCCAAGAGGGCACCAAGAGAGCCTCAAGAGGCCCCAAGATCTTCCGAAATGGTTCCAGGAGGGCTCCAGCATGGCTTCAAGAGGCCCAAGAAACACCCGGAGCACAAAAAACTAACCTTGGTGGCTCAGTGCTGTTGTCGTCACCGTCGCCGTCGATATTCCTTCTTCGTCCCCCACCATGTTCATCTTTCTCCTCCTCCTCCTCCTCCTCCTCTTCATCCTCCTCCTCCTCCTCCTCCTCCTCCTCCTCCTCCTCCTCCTCCTCCCCCTCCTCCCCCCCTCCTTCCCCTCCTCCTCATTCCCCCTCCTCCCCCTCCTCCCTCCTCCCCCTCCTCCTCCTCCACCTCCTCCTCCTCCTCCTCCTCACTATCCTCCTCCGCGATTCCTTTTCCTTCCAAATACCTCCTCCCTGTCGCACCCCGAGGCCGGTCGAAGTCGAAAGGGCGGGCCGGGCGTTTCGCCTGACTTCCCCACAGCTTATGACCCTGAAGCTGAACAATGACAATGACCCTGAAGCTTCTGACCCACAGTTTTACAAATGAAGGGAGACTGGTTTTCAAAATGTGGCTCCCGCCTTAGCGCCGCGCGCATTCGTTTTCAAAAATTACAACAGCTTCACCGATTGAGGGCGGGCGGTTTTCAAAACGTGGCTCTCGCCTGGGCGCAGCGCACACTCGTCTTAAACAACTGCAGGAGTTTTACGGATTGAGGGCGGTGCGTTTTCAACATGTGGCTCTCGCATGAGCGTCGCGCACATTCGTGTAAACAAGTTGCAAGAGTTTCACGGGTTCCCATGGTCAACGTACCAGAAATTGCGTTCTGGAAGGTTTCAGGATTGTGAAGGTGCAACAGTGACGTTGATTCGAGGCACTGAGGTCCCAGAAATGGTGTTCTGGCAATGCTCAGGATCGTCAAGTCGCAACCAGTATAGTTGATCCGTGGCGTTGGAGTCCAGAGAATGGTGTTGTGGCATGCGTCAGGTGCTTCAAACGGCTGTCTCCCAACGAGACACTTCTATCAGTGGGAATGAACCCTTGGCCTACGAAGAGGAAGCTCGGAGGGAGAGTATATTCCAACATCGTTGAAAAGTCTTGGGTTTACACTGGTCCTCCTCCTCCTCCTCCTCCTCCTCCTCCTCCTCCTCCTCCTCCTCCCACATCCCAGTCCTCCTCTTCCTCCTCCTCCTCCTCCTCCTCCTCCTCCTCCTCCTCCTCCCCCTCCTCCTCCTCTTCCTCCTCCTCAACCGCCTCCTCGTCTACTTCCTCCTCCTTTCTCATCGGCTGCCTCCGCTTCTACATTCTCCTCCTCGTCTTTCCTCCATCCGTCCCAACATATCATCGTCTTCTCTGCCCTCTTCGTTCCGCCTCCTACTTGCAAAGATGACGGGTGCTCCGCTCTGCGATCTGCCGCGTGCTCGTGAAGTTCTCTGAGTCGGGCACAGCGCCCGAAGAGCATCCCAGCAAGCTACCCGCAGACGTCCCGCTCGGGCGCGAAGGTCCGACTGCCGAAAAAAACGACCAGAGAGGCTCCGCTTACCTCCCCCTACTGCCCTCAAGCCCTCCTGCTACGTCCCTCAAGCTCCTCCTCCCTCTTCCTACGTAGATCCTGATGCTATGTCACGTGTCCTCGTCGTCCTGTCTGCCTTCCTCCCCTTCCTCCTTCTCCTCCTTGTCCGCGTGTTCCTCTTCATCAGACTCCCTCTTCCCTCCTACTCCGTTTCCCCCTCCTCCTCCTCCTCCTCCTCCTCTTCCTCCTCATCATCATCATCATCATCATCCTTCGGAAGCCCTGCGAAAACGAATGTGCGTCATTGCTGGGCCGCGTGTTGCTGCACATCCCTGATCAGGGCAACTCGCCTGATGTCTGTTGGTGGATGGGCTGGTGGGGATACGCGAAGCGTCAAGACATTGTACACGGCAAGTTCATGTTGACGACATGGGCCCTGGACTCGTTCACGAAGTGGTGACGACATGTTGACGATGGGTAACACGTACAATGGTCGACCACGTCCTCGGCACAACTTGCAGTGCAACGCCGCGGCAGTGCGCCCCATGCAAATGTGCATCCCAGACATGCGACGTCCTGATGTTTTCAGTACGGGATCCCTGGAAGCCCCGACTCTTTCCCCGGGACTGGTTTTTCATCCTGAGTCGTTTTTCGACGGTCCCGAGGCCCGGCGAGGGCCCCCCGGAGGCCGAAAACTGCCAAAAACCTCCCGTCCGGAGTGTTTTACGACGCGATCATGTCTGGGAGTGGCAAATGCGTGTGGTTGAGGTGCTGACGCCGCGCGCAGCATTTCACCGTGGAACGATCTCCGCTCCGCGAGGTCTCCCCCGAAATCGGCTGGCCCCGTCGCCCGCGCGGAGACCCCGCGCCGTCCCTCTCTCTCCCTCCCGTGGGCCCCGACGTGCCCGAGACGGGCCACCCCGGAGCGCGCTCCGTGCCGAACGCCCGCGGCGGCGTCGCCGCCGAGTCGAGGCGGCGCAGAGTCTGCCGCATTCTCCCGTCCTGACAACTCACCAGACCCCCCCAACCCAGCCCGAAGACCCCAATGTCGGGTTGGGGCGGGGTACGGGCTTCCAGATGTGTTTTTCCGGTGTTCCCCGACCCCCTCCCCCAGCACCACTGGAAACGGAGGCCAGTCTGGGGCCTTCGGGTTGGGTTGGGGTGGTCAGGTGGGCGGTGACGTCCCCAGAGTCGTTCGGCACCACCGCCCGCATCGGCGCTTCGCCAGGGGGGTCCTCGCAACGGGCCTCCCCCGAGGGTGCTCCATCTCGAGCGACCGCGTCGGCGTCGCCGCCGCGCCGATGTGGCACAGAGCCTGCCGCAGCCATCCGCTGCCCTGCCGTTTCGCCTGGCGCGGCAGGCCCAGGCGACACTGGGCGCGCGGCCGGGCTGCAGGCGGCGGGCGCACATGTCCGCGAAGACCTCCCGCGCGCGCTCGACGTCCCCCTGGGAGGAGTACGCCTCGGGGGAGGGCCGCGCGGACACCCCTCTCAAGTCCGCAGCGGAGTGGAGAAGTGTCGGGGGCCAGGGGGAACCGCGAGCGACGAAGAGAGGAAGAGTCTCACGCGAGAGGGCATGGCGACACTAGGCTAGGTCACCCAGCTTCGCGGTATAGGTCGCCAGGGCGGAAGGCTGCCCTAGGCCCTACCCAAGGGCCCAGGGTAGCACAAGGCAGGCCCTACCCAAGGGCCTAGGGTAGCCTTGGGCAGGGCCCACCCAAGGGCCTAGGGAAGGGCAAGGGTGGGCCTTACCCAAGGGCCTAGAACAGGGCAAGAGCAGGGCCTATCCAGGGGCCTAACCATCTCGCGCACTTCTCTTCGCGATCTCGCGCCGCCGCCCTGGGTAAGGGTACATCTCCAGCCCAAGCCGCGGTGCGCGAAGCGCGATTATCCTCGCGCCCCTGGAGGTGACCTCGCCTGCGCGGTGGCTTACGCAGGCCGCCCACACTGTAGATTGGGTGGGCAATGGAGCGCTCGCACGCGGACCCTACGCGGGAAGCTCGCGCGCGAGTGTCCGAGCGGTCGACTCTCTCTTCCCGCGTCGCTCACGTGTTGAGAGGTGTGAGGACTCCGAAGGAAGGCCGGGGCGAACATGCGAAGGATAGTCAGGGGCGCTCAGGAGTGCATGCGAGCCCCCAGCGGCCAGCGAGCAAAAGCAGGGTGCAAGATCTAGTTGTCCGCGATGGTGGGGGGAGACACTGGAGACTGGACTGCCGGGTTGCAAAGGGGGGTGGAGGAAAAGTAGCTTTCTTGCCAAAGGCTCCCGAGGGCTGCGTATGCTCGTGATGGTGCCGTCGCTGCCGTGTGCAACAAGAGGCAGCGTAGCTCCACGATCCTCACATGCTCCTCTTCATTTCCTCGCGAAATGTTGTGGGGATTCTGGCGTCCTGGGAAGATGGAGGTGACGTTGCGGTGGTGGCCGCTCTGCCCCCCCCGCTGCTCTGGCAACATCCAACGCCCGCAAATGCACAGCGACAGATCGCGCCGACACACTCCGCGAATGGCGCCCACGGTGCCGTTGTGGACTACAACGCGCGCGTGGCCCCC